AATGATCCAAGAAAAATTAAATAATTTAATTAACAATTCTATTCACAAAATGACCAAAAATTATAGTAATACAAATTTGATGATGAGGAACCCACTTTGAAGAAAAACATTAATATAAGTTTACCATAAACTCAAATGTACAACCTTGTCGAAACGTTGTACATTTGCTGTTATGTTAAACTTATATTAATGTTTTTCTTCAAAGTGGGTTCCTCATCATCAAATTTGTATTACTATAATTTTTGGTCATTTTGTGAATAGAATTGTTAATTAAATTATTTAATTTTTCTTGGATCATTTGTAGAAGTTCAACAGTTCCAAAAGTTTTGTCTATTTAATAATAATATATATATATATATATATAAGTCAATTTTGTGAGCATTGTTATTAGGAGAAGTGCTCAATGAAAAATAATTTTGTATTTCTGTTCACTATCAATACTTGGAATTATAAGTTACCCTTACACATAGTTAAAAGTGCATCCATCTTCACAAACTTGAAAAAATGCTTTAAATGATATCTTATGTTATCTTTATGATTGTATTTTGATATAAATTCTGTATACCTTAATTATAAAAGTGAGTAATAAATAATTCAATTAAAAGCTTCTTAATTTTACATGTAAAAAGTTTCATTGTAATATGCTGTGTCTACTAAACAATAGTGTATTTAATTACTGGGGTAGTATGGCCTAGTGGTTAGAGCTTTGCTTATAATCAAAAGGTTGTAGGTTAGTGCTTGCATGTGACATGTTTATTGTTTTATTCAATAAGAAATTTTACCCCAGTTGCTTCAGTTTACTCAACTGTATGACAAATACAAGTGGGTAGCTGGGGGTTAACCTGCAATATGCTGGCACCCAGAGGTGTCACTAGGCACTGGCACACAGACCCTGTGCCCATTTCTACTTGACAGTGCTCCCAATCCCCAGTTGAGCCCCTGAGCCCCAAATCTTTTAAGCACTTTAGCAATGCCTCTTCTGGCATCCCATCCAGGAATAATGTGTCACCAATCTCATCAAGTGACTAAAGTCACAAAAACAATTAACTTGTTTACTTTTGAATTATTCAGTGTTTATATGTGTGCAGCTCACACGATGTGAATGACTTATTTTGTCATGACTTTCTTCTCTTTTCAGTAAATCTATAACATGAATATGCAACTGAAAACAGTTATAGCTCTGCAGTTTATACACATGCAGTTATGTTTTCTTGAATCAGCTGAGGAATATTGCTTTAATCTAGATTCAAATATGCTTAAGATGTGCATTTTGTTTTGTTTTCTACAGTTTGAACCTCCTTGGTAACCTTAACATAATCTGTACTAAAAGCTATTTTTAATAATGATGTACAGGAAAACTTCAGTGTTTAATATACATTTAATTTGGCAAACCTAGAAAGAAAAAATGGAACATGGTGTATTGTTATATTAAACCCATAGAAGTGACCATTTCAGTCAATTAGTTGTTTTAAGAAATTGTTGAATTTCAGTATTAATGAGCTTCATTACATAAATCAAGAATTATTACAGTATAAACAAATAACCAGTGAATATGGATTTGGACTAATTAGTTTCAGCAGTGAAACTTGTTAAAGTGGAACATTTTGCTAAACTGAAAAAGTATTTTTTTTTGTCTTATGTGTAAAAGAAACAAGTGACAAAATATTTTAAATTAATTTTGAGCACTTATTTTTGCATGTTACAGCTCAACTAACACTCCAGGCCCTGAAGCTAGCTACAGAGTTGTTGTTGCCAGGTGGCTGGTTTGTGACTAAGGTTTTTCGTTCAAAAGATTACCATGCCCTGTTGTGGGTGTTCAAAAAGTTGTTCAAGAAGGTAAATGGCATGATGTTGTTTTATAAAATGTTTTTCTGTGTTGCTAGTTATACTGTTAATACAAAATTGTCTTGGCATTGTCATAACAGTTTTGTTTAAAATTAATTATATAATTTTCTTCTTGAATCATAGTTTCATGTTTTTCTTAATCTTTATGTCACTATAGTTAACTGTTTAAGTAACTTATGAGAGGAATGGAGATTTTTCCTTGTTCTAGTATTATATATGTTCTTTCTTGTAATAATAAAGTAGAACTTACAAATGTCTGCATTGTAAGTGAACAAAGTAAAGGCCAGGTGGTTAGTTGTTGTTGTTTTCAAGAAAACTGCTTTAGTTATATATATATATAGGGTAATATAGATTGTTAATTTGGTGCACACGTGTTTTCATATTCAAAACAATATTCTTGTTTTAAGAATTGTTTTGGTAAAGTAAGTATTATTATATGCAGTGTTAAATCTTTGTTGGACTACTGCTTGAAGCCCTGTGATGGATGATATTTTAGCCTCTATACTAAGGTTTTCATTAAAATGATGAAGACTTCAGTATAATGACTAAAATCTTGACCTCCACAAGACTCCAAGTAGTATTCCAATAAAGATTTAACAGATGTGGTTCAATGAAGATTTAAATCTAGGAAGGCATTTGATTATAGTATTTATCTTCTTGTCCAAGGGTCACTTCAAATGCTGTTTCTCAAAACTTAAAGTCACCAATTTTTTCTCAAAAAATTCTTGGTTTTCTTTCTTGCTGTTTCTATGTAATTGGAACTTATAATTTGGCAATTGTAATAAAATAAAATGTTTCATCAAAATTGTTTTATTTTAAATTTCTTTATTGGATACATACTCTGAAAAATTATGATTAAATTTCATCCTTAGGTCCATGCAACCAAACCACAGGCATCACGTCATGAATCGGCAGAAATCTTTGTTGTTTGCCAGGGATACACTGCTCCAGACAAGATTGATTCCAAATTCCTCGATCCAGCATACTTGTTTAAAGATGTTGATGTAGAACCAGTTACAAAACAAAACTTGCTTCAAATTGACAAGAAAAATAAGAAAAAGAAGGCTGAAGGGTATCCTGAAGGAGACTACACACTTTACCATCAATTATCTGGGTTGGAATTCATTAAGAGTACTAATCATGTAGAACTGCTTAGCAAGTGTAGTGAGGTATCTACTTGTCTTTGTAATTTTTTCATTATCAGGTTAAAAAAATAATTAGTCACTAGCTGTAAGTTTGTTTTAGCCTATTTAATGATTTCTAACCCAGTGGCAGATATATTGCCACCTTTGACATTGTGTTAATAGAAATTAATAACTCCTAAAAAGTCACCATATTTGAAACACAAATGCTTCAAATAGTTGACATGATAGCTATGAGACTTTTAAAATATAAATTTGATTTTTTGGGTCAATTTATGATTTATAATGCAAAAGTCTATTAACCCTTTCACTGCTCAGGTGGGGTGGAAAACCCTCCAACCCATGTGCAAAGAAAAAACATTACCTTATGAAATTATCATATAGCATACAAAATTAAAGAGTAAACACCGAAAAGTCATATAATTACTCCTATGTAGGCCTGGTGGAGTGCTGAGAGAGGATGGAGTGGAGGTTGGTCAGGTTCTATGCACAAAAATAAATTATAAAGCATGAATAACGTTATAGCATACTGTTATTTTAAACCATTATTTGCCAAAACATCTGTGGGTGTCTGCATATAATTGGGAAACCAGTGGACCAATCACCAAACTTGGATGTGTCCTCAGGGGTCCCTGGGGAGTGATAAGGGGATCAGCATTAAAATCTGACTTTCCTATGTTACCTACAGAGGCTTATATGTATTTCTCATGTATTGAGTCTATTTATGACTGAAAAACTGCTGGGCTGATTGTCATCAAACATGGCATGTGTTCTAAAGGCCTCTTGGGGATTACCTTTCAGATCTGGCACCCCTCTGAGAATCTCTGTGATAATGTAGAGCAGTTAGTAACAACTTCTTTTAAATATGAAATAGTTTAGATCAATTAAAGTTTTATTACATATGAATAGAGTTTATTTGTACAAAAAATTAGTAGCAGAGAATAATAGAATTATAAAAGTGTATTTTAATAGTGCATAAAACTGTTAAGAAACCAAAAAACTTGTATACTGCTAACTGCACACGTATTTAAATGTTATACTGCCCAAAAATGAAATTTAAGAATCATGTAAACAAGTAGTAAAATATTTTGTTAAATATTATACATTACTGCATAGATCTTTTTTATACACTTGTATTATTTTATTATTATTATACTGGTATGTACTGTACATGTATTATTTTCAGTGTCAGTTAAACATGAGACTGCCTGTAGTTGTGACATTTTAGCTCATAAAAATGGTGTATGATAAAACTTCAATTTTAAACAAAATAATTTGTTTTTAGTATTTTTATCATTCAACATTTCAAAATATGTTTACAAGCTCTCTTATAATGCATTTCAAAGGAAATGACAAAATAGGTACTTATCAAAAATCATAAGGAGACAAGAATTTTGTTCAAATATATAACCTTATGTTGCCATAAAAGTATTTAAAAATAGAAAAAAATATTGCTTGTACTTGATTATTTGTTGTGTCTCAAAGTGTAAACTACAGATGCTCATACGTATGTATATATTTCTTTTATCTGAAAAGCTTTGAAATTTTGAAGTAAGGATAAGAGCAATAATGTTATGCTTGTCATATTTTAGTATATGGTTGTATTTTTACCACTCAAAAAATATGTTAATTGCTCTATGTGTAACATAATTGTAACTTATTTTATAATCTTAAAAGTTCTCTTTGTTCTAATTGCTAAAACTGTAATATGAATAAATTTGTGTGAACTTCATTTAAAATTAAAGAATGGATCTTGTTTAACTGTGATGATAGGTAGTAAAAATTTATCAGTTCTCGTTTTTATAATTATGTAGATAGTTTTGGACAGTCCAGTGATTGTTGATCATCCTTTAACAACTGATGAAATCAAAGAATGTTGCAAAGACATAAAAGTGTTGGGACCAAAAGAATTGAAGTAAGAAATTATCTTTTTTATGAGAATAGTCATATGTTATCACAACAGAAGTAAAACTAAGAAAGAAGGTGCATGAGCTATGCCTTTATGTGGATATCACAAGCTAACTTGTCTAAAAGCTGTTAAAATCGTATATGAGCTATGTCTACCCCATATTCTTTGATTGGGTAAAGTAGTGTCATAATTACATGATTATAGATTTTGCTGATTGGTTCTACCAGTTATTTTGTGTGTTTTTATGTGTGGTTCTTCTGTTTTGTAAAGAAAATTTCTAGATTATGACTTAATAGTTGAGTCTCTATAAATGAAAGGAATTAAATGTTGTGATATCTATTAAGTTTTTTATTTCTAACTGAGCATGCTTCATGAGGTAAACCTTTGCAGAAAAAAATATTTATGTGAAACTGGAATAGAAACTGTTTTATAATGCAATATAATTATAAGTTTAAAACTACTTTCTGTTGATATAAAAGTAACTTTTAATACTATTCCTGCTTTCCTTAGTTATATGGATATTACACTGATAGAGCAAATGAATGATTATTATATGGACTGATATTGTTTGACGTTTCTACTAAATCAGGTGAAAGTTTTTACTAAATTTAAAGTTACAACCTGGTGCATCAGTGGTAAGTTCACAGACTTACAATGCTAAAAATTTGGAGTTCGATTCCCCCATGGTGGATAAAGTGCAGATAGCCCATTGTGTAGTTTTGCATTAAACAAGCAACTACTTTAAAGTTGATTTAGTTTTAATTTATTTCTCTTAGTATTGCATAGTCTTTGTTGTTGGCACTGTGTAAGCTGTAATGTATTTCCTTTTTTCAGAGCTATTTTAGTGTGGCGAAAAAAAATCAAGCAGTACCTTGAAACCCAAGAAAAAAAGGAAATCGAAAAAGATCTGTAAGTGCCTTTAATAGTTTTTATTCACCAAGAAAATAAGTGAAGTTAGAGAACGTTATAAAGCTTAAAATGTAATGAATTATCATGTTAACAATTTTGGTGTCTCCAGTTAAATAGTATTTTGTAAGAAAAACATTTCTTTTTTTGTTGATAGGTTTTTGTTTGAAAAATATAGTTTTTGTACGGTTATCATAAGTTTTAACACATGCTAGTATGTGTTTTATATTATTCGTAAGATGGGCATGTAATAAAAAAGAAAATATTTGGTAGAATGTTTTATTGTTTAGAGAGGGGGTTAGTATAGTGAGAGTAAATATACTCAAAAACTTTCATCATTTATTGTTTGTGCAGTTGAGATTGATTAATTTCTGGAACTATTCTTATCATGAGCCATGAATGAAAAAAGACCAAAGAAAGATTTGAAACTAGGGAACACTTTCCATTAGTATTTTACTTTTGCACACAAATATCCTGTAAAGAATGTCAGTGAAACACGTTAAAAGTAATTATAATCCTTTAAAACTGCTTATATGGGTTACAGAGAAGGAGAGGAGGAGGTGAAAAACAAAGAGGAGGAAATGAACAACAAGGAAGAGAAAGAGGAGGATGAGATAGTTAAACAAATTGAAGAATCCAAAATAGAAGAGGCTCAAGAATTGAAGAGAAAAAAAAAGAAAATTCTCAAGGAGAGGCGGAAATTACGTGACAAGATGAACTTGCAGATGGTAATAAAGAATGATGAACCAATACAACAGCAAGATGATGAACTTTTTCAGCTTGCTCGTATCAAAACAAAAAAGGTTTGAGAGAAAACATTTGTATTCCTTAATTTTAGGTGTGAAAAAAAATCCGTATTTGTCAAGATGTGAGTCAATGTTAGACTAAAAATGTTCTCATATGTCTCAGTTATTCATATGAATATAACTGAACAGTAGTTAGTATGAAGAGAAACTCTACTTTTGTATTGTTTGTATTTTTTACTTGGATCCAAAGTGTAAAACACTTTTTACTGACTAAGTTTACATGCTTACCTTGTATATGGCCCGGCATGGCCAGGTGGCTAAGGTGCTCGACTCGCAATCTGAGGGTTGCGGGTTCGAATCCCCGTCACACCAAACATGCTCGCCCTTTCAGCTGTGGGGGCGTTATAATGTGACGGTCAATCCCACTATTCGTTGGTAAAAGAGTAGCCCAAGAGTTGGCAGTGGGTGGTGATGACTAGCTGCCTTCCCTCTAGTCTTACACTGCTAAATTAGGGACGGCTAGCGCAGGTAGCCCTCATGTAGCTTTGCGCGAAATTCAAAAAACAAACAAACCTTGTATATACATAAGTTCAATAGACCATGATATCACACTAAGATATTTGGATATCTGAAATAATTTTTCAAGTTTAGTTTTTAAGTTTTTATTAATTAAAATTTGTAATTTTGTATATTTAATATAACTATCTTTTCTGTGTAGTAGGCCTGATTATTTTTCTTCTTCCAGCTATGATTCTTAAAATCAGTGAAACTGCAAATTTGCTTTAATTTTTATGGGATTTGGCTTGTTTGCTTTTTTTCTTCTTTATCTTTCTCTCCTATCATAAATTTCTGAAAGTCGCATATTTGGTTAGTAATGATGTTAAACATTTTGAAATAACTAACAGCCAGTTTCTGAGAAAAGGAATCCATGTTTGTCCATCTTTGAAAATGGGTTAATTCTTTTCCCAGTAAAATCAAGAATAAGTATATTATTAATAAGATTAAATGGCATTTGTGAAAAAATAATTGGATTAAAACTGCCTAACAATGTTAAAAAAAAGGAGATAGAAGCCTCAGTATGATGGTACAAAAGTTTTTAGCATTATGGTGCAGTTTTACTTCAACTAAGGATATTATTCTATTTGTTTCCTGGTTATAAATCAAGTTTTAGAATGTAAGCAGTTGTGCTATTTCCAAATTTATACTTGTGAATGGTCTGTTTCTAATTGCAAGAGCATCCTCCCACCTGAAAGTTTGTGACTTATCAGTCACATCACAATCAAAAGTTTCTTTGATATCTCTGTAAGGATCAATATTTTTACTTTGTACTGAGCACTGCAGTATTGCTTGCACAAGCACAAAAAATAAAAGAATGTGATATTTGATCCTCAGCCTTTTTTGTCTGTATGTACATGTGCTTTAGTCCAATTCTTATTAGGAATTTAATGAATGTATATAAGGCATGTAAAAGAAAATATACACAATGTGAAATGCATGCTATCAGCTTTCTAGTTTTGAAGATACAGGTGTGTTTGCATTTGGATGGATTAGACAAATTAAAACTGAGAAATGGAAATTTTTTTATTTATTGATACACTAATTTTAATATACAGAAACAAAGTACATCGTAAGAGTGGCTAGAACAGTACTTGTATAATGTGTGACATAATGAATGTAACAATAAGCTAGACTGCAAGTGGACTGTGTACTAATAATAGATAACTGTAATAGTAATAATTTAATTAACCAGTCATTTGTATAAACATGTTCTTTTGGCCAGTTTTGGGCTAACTTGTGCTGAAAAGTTTTCTAAAATTGTCATTTGGCTTAAGCAAGTTAAAATTTGCAAAGGTCTTTTTTTTGCATTAAAAGGCATTTACTAGTACTGAAAATACTTAAAAAAATTTATCAAATATAAAAAATAGAAATAAATGGATTCATAAACCATGTTTTGTGTTTCTGTTGAAACATGTACTATGTTCCACCATCAATAAAACATTTCCTTATGCTTATAAATCATTTTTTTGCCTAACTATTATTTTATATTATTCCATATTTATTTTATCATGTTCTCAGTAGCTTATGAGTTATAAGAATACTCTTCTTGTTTGTCAGAGATGTTCATTTTTCCCCCTTATGCCTTTGGAGGTCTCTAGAGATAAATATAAATTTAAGAATTAAATCTTGTTTCTCACCTTTGCATTCCAAATAGAGGTCTGTTTGATCATTTTGGTTTTTATCATCATTATACTTTAACAAATGACTAATTAAATTGTTTTGTATTTGCATACTTGGTTGGAATTTAAGTTTACATAATCTTTCAGCAGTAATTAAATTTTATCAGTTAATGTGAGAAAGCTGTCATTTATGAAAAACTAAAATATTTAATGATAACCAAAAGTAGATTGAGCTACAATAAGATGAAGTTTTTTCAATCATAATTTGTTTAAAATCAGAGAATACAATGCACAGTGTAAATTCCCTTGTTTGTGTTTTTGTTTCTGATTGTTGTTTAGATCTTGTGTAAAATACTAAGTTTTATTCTGAAAATTTAACCCTAACAAATCAAAATGATATGGGTATTTATTTAATAATTTTTTATTACATTCTTTTACATCAAAGAGATAATGATTAAAATTGAAATATGTTGATTTGTAATCTATAGGATCTTTCTCAAGTAGAAGAAGACAATATAGTGGAGGGGCTAGACCCAACAAAACCCCAAGAAAATGATGAAGAAGTGAAGAATCAAAACTTGAAAAGAAAGTGGGTTGATTACAACAAGGATAACCATGAATATTACTGGAGCATTGGTAACAATGAGGAAAATATTAGTGAAGATGGTGTAATATCTGATGATGATGAAGAGGGGAAGAGGCAATTTGAAGAGTTGGTTTTCATTCATTATAATGTAGTTTTCTTTTAAATTAAGTTATGAATTAATTTTTCTATTGTATGTTAGTTTTCTGGAGGATCATGTTCTTATGTTATGCATTCAAGCCACAGGCACAAGGCTAAAAAAGAATGGTGTTTATTTCAAGCAGTGTATTCTATTTAATGATACCTTGCAGTTCTAAGTATTTTAGGGGTTAGTGTCATAACATCAAATACTGGATAATGGGGATCGTTGAATAAGTTTTTAATTGTTGAATCACTTCAGTAGGCTTGTGCCCATGGCTTTAAATGTGCACTTTATTACCGAAGCTATTAGTATCCTACTTCACACCATCAGAGAATGGCCTAATTTTTATAGGGAGTTCTTTCACTTTTGGCATTAATCTTGACTTTGAATTCTGTTTGTGGACAGAAATTTGTTTCAAAATCTCTCAGACTGCTTAGTTTAAATTCATGTAAGAGCTCTCTGCTGAACAAAGTAAGTTCTGGATGTTACTTTTCTTGTTGTTGCGCATTATGACATGGTGAATTATCATGCTGAAAGAGCTATAACCTATCACTCTGAATTCTTTAAAGCAGGCAGTGCAGCATTTTCCAAAACATTACAAAAAAATTAGACATTCATAGCTTCCTTTACTGTTTATTACACCAAGCAATAACAAAAAATTCTCTGCTACTAGAAAAAATGCAACTGTAATTTGATGATGCTGATTCTAAAAATCATGTTGAAAATTACCGATCACCTCTAGTTTTTGGGTTATGATAGATTTATTCAAAATATTCTTATATATCGTGATAATAACTTTATTCATAGGAAATTGCATTTAAAAATATTCAAAAACAATACATAATAGCAATGATTATAATAAGATCATGCACTGAAAATACAATCAAGCTATCCTAGACCCCATTTTCCT